TGTTTTATAACACTGCAAACTGTGTTAAAAAGTGTTAATTTACCTAAAATCGTGTACTTCTACACTTCCTGGGTAAAATCCCACTTTAGTTCAGTGTAAATTAACACTACTTTGGAAAAGTTCCAATTTTAGAAAGGTACTTTTACTCTTTTAGTGCAAACTTCTAGTGTAAATTAACACTATTATTTGAGTAAAACCTATTGGTGGTAGTGAATAAAACAAAAAGATAAATAAAGAGAAACATTTATTTGGAACAAAAATCTACGACAATTATTAAAATCGGTGCCTTTTAAAATATAATTTTATATTTGAGTCGTATGGCTGGCTTAAGCAAAATGGTTCCTTAAAACGTAAAAGTTTTAGATCAATGCAATGTTTTACTGGCTGTCAACTTGTAAGCAATAAATTATCTTGATAATTCATCAGTAATCCATTTTTCTGTTATAAAAAATGGGTGATCCCATAGGTAGAGAGGCGTCAGGCGGCTGTATGTCGGGGATTTACCACACGTGTACAAATTTTCCATAATATTAATAAAAATGTAGGTATAGGATAATATAACAACCATTACGCTTGAAAATAAAAAGTAAATCAAGTGTGTATGTATTTATATTATTAATTTTACAAGTACCCGACCTACTGCCGTAAATTATTGATATATAATATAGGTCGGGTATGGACATCCTTTTAACATATTGATATTTATTGAGTATTAAGGCTTAAAGAAAAAGGAAGTATAATGCTTACCAAAAAATAAGACTCTAACTTTATGTGATACAATGTGCACTATTAGTGTAAAGAAAAAAGAGCTCTTAGTAACATCAAAACAGACAAAGAAATTGGCATGCACTGTAGAGTACATTTTGTCACTATTTAACACATTAAGGGGTAATAAACACTCGCATTAAGTTTTTTTACCCTTTTGATTTATTTTAATAATAAATAGTGTGAATGTACCAATGAATAAAGTTCATATTCTTTAAATGTGTTTAATAAAGTTAATAAGCACTAAATGCTACCTAGTGTATTTTGTAGTGTAACTTTTACACTTACAAATCAACTCTAATATTTTTACCCCTACACTAAAAAATTTACACGGGCAAAATTTTATATTTGTATATATCCCAAGTAACACTGATGCTCTTATTGCAATCTCTTAGATCGCTTTAAAAGTTTACAATAAAACTTTGAATAAAACCAAATGATCTTCAAGACAGCTTTACGACCATTATAAAGCAGTTTCTAGGTTAAATTAATATTAACTTAACTATTTCATAATTGTTTTTCTTTAGAAGGCCATAAGTTTTAGGTTTGCCAAAATTTCATTAGTGTTTCCTTGTGTTAACAAAAGGTCGACCTTATATTATGTCCTTGTTTATTATACTTCTCTCTCGTGGGAGAAAAAGTTTCAATTTCAATAAAGATTCTAGGAACAGAATTTAAAAAAAGTCGTACAACTTACTGTCTAATTAAACTAATAAAACTATAACTTATAATAATAATAATAATAATAATAATAGTATAAGTATATAAAATAAATTGTATTTTTTTATTTTTCACATGAATCATGAAATGTAACTCTGAACTACAGCTCATTTTTTTTGTTAGGTTGGTGGCTAATGCCAGTTTGACTTAGTACTTTTAGTATTTAAAAATGGTACTTCTGCTAAAGAATTTAATTAAATACTTTGAGACTGTCAATAATATTTATTATTGATAATTTACTTGTCAATTATAAATAAAAAGATAATTATGACAAAAATAATAGCAACGAATTCGAATGTAAAAGCCCTTTTGAGGGCAAAACTTCATTTTGATGAAATTATGCCAAATGCCACAATGGAAGAAAAAGTACATCGCCTTATGGACATTTTTGGAGTAAAAAAGTAACGAATTTGGTTTTATAAATCACACATTATTTTCACATTATTCACCATTGGACAACATTTACGTTCACAAAAAAATTTAATTTCTATTATATAAATTCTTTTCAAAGCGAAGATTATTATCCGCTAGGAATACTTTCTCTTCTGGGCCGTAAAGCAACCTATATTTAACTACTTTTTTATATGATTTTACTCATCTAAGCACCACCAAAGCCAAATTAATTGCATTTTTAACTACGAATTTCGACAACTCAACTTGACAACTGCACAATGTAACCTACAATAATTTATACATAACCACAATTAGATTTATAACTAGTTTAGTTTGTTTTAATCAATGCGACCAACTTGACAACTGTATTAACCAACTAAAACCCTAAATTTGCAACGTTGCCGCAGTCCAGAAAAAAAATGAACTTTACTTACCCATTTTTTATCAAATGTTAAGGAATTCTTTGAATTTTTTATAGGGAAAAAGCATCTAATATTAAAGTAGACAAACGCTTGAGAATAGAAGACATGTTTATGCGTTTACCTTTTGTCACACGATACCTTGACTGGACTAAATTTATATTCATGGTGCACATTCCTAAAATTGAATAACTTTTGTGTTGCAAATATTCGCAAAATTAGATAAAAGTTCGCTTTAAGTAGGTTTCTACCAAGTTTTACTTTTCTTTTGACGTATTATTAATTTGTTAAATTGTATTGTGAACATAATGTTTAAATAATTAGACAATCCTTCTACCTTTCGTTTCACAGAACATGATAATTATAATTAAAAAATCTAACATAGTACCAAGAACAGCGCTGTCATTGAATGCATTAAAATTGAAGCAATCTAAATTGTTATTTGCTCAATTAATTACTATTAAACCAAAATAGGGAAATATTTTGCCTAAATGTCAAAGAATTTATTGCGTTAAATGTATACATAGTATACATACAATAGTAACGTAATTAAATAAATCAAATTAGCATTTAATGCAATAACATTCTACCATTCTAACAAATAAATATCAATATGAATATCAATAGATTTAGGAGCGATAACTTTTGTTGTTAATTTAAAAACAGTAAACGATTATAAACCAAGTGCTATCTATCTATGCTACCTATTGGTATTATAGGAACTGTTATTCAGGAATACGGATTACAAGATCCCATTGGTTTAATGGCTCACCCATTCATGCTATTCTAGCGTTTTTTCTGTGTAGTTTTCACAACTCATTTTAAGATTTAAAATAAATCTGCATAAAGAAATGTCACTGCAACTCTCAAAAGCTAAAAGCGTTACAATAGAAACCAACTATAAACAAATCGCAATGTTGCCGCGTTTAACTCCTATAGTATAGTGCCTTTTGTATTAAAATAAAAAATAATTATAAAACCAGTTAAAAAATTGCTTGTTTTTTAAATCAAATGTAATAAAATGACAAACTAAATTTTGTTTTTGCAAGTTGGTACCAAGCGCTATTTATGAATTATATAATCAATCTGTACCTAATAATTTTATAAAAACTATGAGTGATGACCCATTACACATTCTAACACTGAGTAGAAATTTGCCAAGTGAGCCCATGATTTTCGACGTTGTAATGAAAATTAAAAATAAATATTAAATCATAATCTACTAAGTAGTAGAAAGTTATCACATAAAATTTTTTGAAAAAACTTTATTCGTTTCTTTACAATGTGTGATTTAAAAAAATTGTAACATTTGATTTAAAAATTAGTTTCTTGTAAACTATTTATAAAAAATTAATGAAAATTTGTGAGAATGGTAAAAAATAAATGCAGTTAACAATAAAATTTTTAAAAACGTGCTATTATTTTTTTTGGCAACTTTTTTATTCTTTTTTAATATAAAAATGGCAATATGGCCTTGTTCTCCCTCAGAAAATTGAAAAAAATAATAGGTAAAAAAAGCTCTGAAACCTAAAGATTAAGGAACCGTTTCAACATTTTTGTGATCGCCCCCTGAGTCAAAGATAAATAATATTGTTCAGCGCTGCGCCACGTTAACAGGCGACTCTTTAAGAGGCAAGTTAACAGGCGCATCTTTGCGTACTAAATATTTAATCAAATGCCGTGCCCAAACGATCTTTCTTGAATTTTATGTTTTTGCATCAAGTAACTGACAGTAATTGACAGAAAAAACTTTATAAAAAAAATGGATTATACCCTTTTTCTTTCAAGTTCCTCCAATTTTTTCCATACAAAATTGACATAATTTTAGGTTTAAATAAAATAATTGCAATTTATTTTAAGAATTATTCTACTGGCTTTAATTTTAACCATAAAAAAGGGTACGGTATATTTACTATAATATCGTTTATAATTAACATAAACATTTAAAATAACAATTGCCAATTTATTTTTATAAGACGCAGGATGAAAATAAAAAAAGAATAAAGTAGATTTATTACTTTAAAAAATTGCAAAATTAACAATAGTGAACACATTAGAATAAATATAAACATACCTAACATAACTAAGCCTCCTATTTTCCCGTAATTACATTTTTAACAAAAACTGTGTCATTCGAGAAAAGTCTACACAAAATATTTGTATCATCTATAGGTTCATAGCAATGGTATTGTCTGGTATTTTTTATTGTTCTCGCTTTTTCAAAGCGCGCCTTTAACGAACTCTCGTGACGTTTATGTTCATTTTGAGAGCAAAAATTAAAAGATATTTTTGAAAAATGCTTTTCAGCCCATTGGAAAAGACTTCGAGGATTAGTAATGTAGTTATTATCTATTCTTTGCAAACTAGCTCGATAGGCTTGTCTTTTCACAGCCCCTCCAATACCATCACAAGCCCCTTTTCCGTGGGAGGTCGCAAAAAAATTCCACTGAGCAGTGATCCCAAAATCTTCTTGATGTTTTAAAAGATTTATAAAATTAAATTTATTTTTATACTGCGACGCGGCTCCATCCGAAAAGTAAAAGATTTTTTTTATATTTTTATCCCCAAATTTTTTTTTCAAGTACTCAATAACTCTTGAATTAAATAAATGAACCGACCATTGCATCGTGAGTCAATTTTTCAGAAATAATGACGAAGCTATCGTGCTTTTGCACTCCGTTATGGCGATAATAAATTACATACGGATGGAGAGTAGCCTGAGTATTGGACCAATGATGGGCCTGAATGGCATTTTGCACATGAAATGTGTAATTTTCTGCAAAATCCATGCTTATAACGAATTCCCCTTCCTTAACGTTATTCTTAATTTGGCTAAAATACGAAGCTTGAGACACTGCAAGAAAATTGTGTCTCATTAAGATCGGTAAGTCGTTGGCTAAATTACACAAAAACTCGTCTCTGCTTTCAGTCTTTTGTGAAATTTCGCACCTGTAATGTAAATAAACACAAATTTTAAAATAAATAAAAAAACTTAAATCATTTTATTTTAAAATACCTGTCGGTGTTCGCCCACTGACTGAATTTTACTTCCTTCACATAATTTTCTTCGAGGATAATTTTTAGTTTTTTAATAACACACTCAGTTTTTGGACACTCTTCACAGATAGAAAAAAAGCAATTCGATGATGGATTCTCACAGACTGAATTTTTTATTAAATCTTGATATGTGTCGGTGAAATTAGCTCCTTTTATTTTCAGTTCTTGCATCAGGCCGCGTATTTTTAATTTCATATTTTGGTGAATTTTACACACGCAAACGTTGTGTGTACCGCTTTTACCAGCCAAAATACATTCTTGAGGTCTTAACTGCCTGAATTTTGCTAGACAAATCGGCATTTCAGGAAACTTCTCGTTAAACTGCTTATGCAAATCAATGAGATTGAAGAGAAGCAACCTTTTCTGCTTTTGGCTTCGTTTTCCATCTTTAACAATTGATATGTAATCTTTCATTCCAGGCATGACACGGCTGTTATCATCGGAGAGATAAAAAAGTTTCACTGCACTCACAGTCGTGTTTGAAAGCTTACGCCCTGCTTTTTTATTTGGTCGAGATCCATGCCCAGATTCTTTTCTTAATTTTTTTGCTTTTGATGCCATTCGGCGTGACACTTCGAATTCTTTTCTCATTTTTGCAATGGTCCAATGTTGCGGGATAGTTGTCAAAATTTGTATTTTTCCAGATCGGTTGGATTGCTGAGATAGAGCAGCTTTTATGTCACGAATGTACAAAGTTTCCAAGTCATTATCAACAGTACAGTTTTTTTCACCTAATAATTTACTACACATTTGATTTTCTTTGTGAGAAAGTTTTTTTGAAGGTTCTCCATATTGAAACGTTGGATCACCTTTTTCGTCTTGTTCAGGATCTGCAGAGTCACATTCTTCGCCAACGATTTTATTTTGAGTTTTTCGGTTAGAAAGAAAGACTTTATACTTTGATTCACTTCTTTTCTCGTAAATCGATCGTCGACAAGAATTGCACATATGTAGTCCAACAAAAGTCTTTGAAAAGTATTTATTTTTTAGCATTATTGCATTCCATTTTTTTGTGACAAAATGAAGATTTTTTGTTACTTTTTTATGCTTACTTTTATTTAAAGGATTGCAGCATCTTTTTGCACGGCCCATCACGAAAACTATTTTAAAATTATTTAACCACAACTTTTAAATGTTATTGTTTCAATACATTTGGTTTAAATAAATAAATATTACCTACATATTTTAATAATAAGGTTTTTATTTTTATACCAATTGTAGAATTTGGTTTTTTGTACAGGTCTGTTTTTATAGTGCACAAATTTGTTTACAAACAAATGGGATTTAAATATACATTATCGGACAAATTAAATACGGCAGTATTTTTTTACCAAATGTTATAATTTTTTATGGTTAAAATTAAAGCCAGTAGAATAATTCTTAAAATAAATTGCAATTATTTTATTTAAACCTAAAATTATGTCAATTTTGTATGGAAAAAATTGGAGGAACTTGAAAGAAAAAGGGTATAATCCATTTTTTTTATAAAGTTTTTTCTGTCAATAGTTACTTGATGCAAAAACATAAAATTCAAAAAAGATCGTTGGGGCACGGCATTTGATTAAATATTTAGTACGCAAAGATGCGCCTGTTAACTTGCCTCTTAAACGGTCGCCTGTCAACGTGGCGCAACGCTAAACAATATTATTTATCATTGACTCTTGGAGCGATCACAAAAATGTTTAAACGGTTCCTTAATCTTTAGGTTTCAAAGATTCTTTTACCTATTATTTTTTTCAATTTTCTAAGGGAGAACAGGGCCAAATTGCCATTTTTATATTAAAAAAGAATAAAAAAGTTGCCAAAAAAAAATAATAGCACGTTTTTGAAAATTTTATTGTTAACTGCATTTATTTTTTACCATTCTCACAAATTTTCATTAATTTTTTATAAATAGTTCACAAGAAACTAATTTTTAAATCAAATACTACAATTTTTTTTAATCACACATTGTAAAGAAACGAATGAAGTTTTTTCAAAAAATTTTATGTGATAACTTTCTACTACTTAGTAGATTATGATTTAATATTTATTTTTAATTTTCATTACAACGTCGAAAATCATGGGCTCACTTGGCAAATTTCTACTCCACTACAACTCACCAATGTAGAATAATTTTTTTTTGAAAATTTATTTATTAAGTTTTTGGGCGATAAAAAATCTTGTTAGTGTAACGATCAAATTACCATTCAGATTGTAGTGAGTAAATAAACATACAAAATCAATGTATTTTCATATATATAAACGCTGTTATCTATTAATTACCATACAGATATGAGCTATGCGATTTTAGATTTCCAATTCTATGTGTAACGAGGCATTGTTTATCAAAGTTGGAATTGCAATAATTACAATTATTGTTAAATGTGATTTTGAACAACTATTTTGAGTCATCGCTCGAGCGATCGAGAGCGGTGTGGAGCTCGCTGGAATGTTCGGGAAGGCGCTTGCTTGATGTGGGTCACGTATGCACTGAATATATAAGGCACAGCGGAGCCTCTGGTAGTTACTTAAGACTCTTGTACAGTAGTGATATATAAATAATTAGTAGTTAAGTGTTTGGGTCATTTTCAAGAAAAACCCGCTTTCAGGAAAATGAAGATAAATTTTTTTTTTTGACTTTTGGTTGGATTTTTATAATTGTTTAGAGTTTTGTTTACTTACATTTAAGACAGGTAGTGCACTTTTAATTTTTTTTACGTTTTTTCAAAAAAATGTGTTTAGCTAGCTTTATATGTCTCCACTGTTACCAATTTAAAATCCAAAATTTAATCCAATAAAAAAAGTTGTTATAAAAATAATTTCAAATAAAATGTACTTAGTTCACAAACTTTTGACTCCAATTTTATTTTTTATTAAAAATTGTATGCCTTTTTTAAATATTTATGTTAGTTAAGTTACTTTTTAAAAGACACCATTCCGATTCTTTGTTAAAAAACAATACCATTAATATTTCTTTTACTCACTGTATTAGTGAGTAAACTCTAATTTATAAAGAGGTTTTACCAAGTGATAGTAAAATCATTTTAAGGATTTTTTTTAACAAAAACTAAAAAAAGTAACGAAATAGACATTGGTATCACAAAGGACTTAATCGGAAATACAAACGGCCATAAAAAAAATTCGAGCTAACTTTTACCCAGGGAGGGTTTTGCTATTGGATAGCTATATTTTAAGAAAAAAATGGTCCGGTGCGGTTTGATTTCGATGACCCGAAAATTGTCGCACAGTGTAATTTAAGGCAGTAGGTCGGGTACTTGTAAAATTAATAATATAAATACATACACACTTGATTTATTTTTTATTTTCAAGCGTAATGGTTGTTATATTAACCTATAAGTACATTTTTATTAATATTATGGAAAATTTGTACACGTGTGGTAAATCCCCGACATACAGCCGCCTGACGCCTCCCTACCAATGGGATCATCCATTTTTTATAACAGAAAAATGGATTACTGATGAATTCTCAAGATAATTCATTGCTTACAAGTTGACAGCCAGTAAAACATTGCATTCATCTAAAACTTTTACGTTTTAAGGAACCATTTTGCTTAAGCCAGCCATACGACTCAAATATAAAATTATATTTTAAAAGGCACCGATTTTGATAATTTTCATAGATTTTTGTTCCAAATAAATGTTTCTCTTTATTTACCTTTTCGTTTTATTCACTACCACCAATAGGTTTTACTCAAATAATAGTGTTAATTTACACTAGATGTTTGCACTAAAACAGTAAAAGTACCTTTTTAAAATTAGAACTTTTCCAGGTAAAAAAGAAACTATATAGGGTGGTACGATTTTAGAGTAATGCATAAACAAAATCCCTTGTAGTGGTGCTCACTTGCAGAATAACAACTTAGATTTCTAAATTAGAGACACCCTTTTTCTTTGACTATAAGCTGGTGTCTTTTAGTACTTGTATATTGCGTGGAATTTTCCCTTGGATGTAATCTATATCATGAGTTGTAATCACAAATAATTTTAAATTGGTTTATCATAAACTACTTTTAATAAAAGCGACGGTAAATATCAACTTTGTTGTCGAAAAATTCTATTGCGTTACCCTAAATTCCATTGCGTTACCATAAGGTTACGTAATGGATTCGGCAACGCAGTGGACACAGTTTTGTGAAACCATATTTAAAAAATAATAATATAACATTACAGTCATTAATTACTCTCAATGAGCTTTAGTGCCCTAAAATAAACATAAAATAAAAAATAGTATTTTTTCTTACCTTATTTTTATTATTTTTTTGAGTAACTTAGCGGACAAACAATTATTACATTCGCGTTACCCGCACCTGTTTCAACCGATATCTTCTTCCTGATTGAATAAATAAATTCAGCTGGGTAATGTGTACGCCCGAACATCATTTGTTAATCACGTGAGTGCCAAAAAAGTTGCCATATATATGTTTTTTTAAATATTCTATCGGTAACGCGACGGACGTAACGCAACGACATGAGTCAAATTTAAAAAAAGTAGATTATAATTAATTAATTTATATAAAAATTGTTTACTTTATTAACTAAGAATGTTATGGATTGCTATAAAGCAACATAAAGTTCTGGTTATTCAATATTTAAAAAAAACAACATGTATGTAAGTTTTATAAAACGCTAATGGGACATGCGAAAATGTGTGTTTCACAAGTTTCAAAAAATTATTCTGAAATAACTAAACAAACATTTTCTGAAAGATTTTACTAAGGGCTTGTTAAGCTTTCACTTGGTTTTTAAATCAATAAGATCCGATAATTTTTAACAAAGTTATTGGAGTTCAAACTTACGGACAGCGGAAGGCGGGTGTTTTTTGAAAACGACCCGTTTAGTTAGTTTTATAGTTTCTTAGTGTTTAAATTGTTATTAAGTTATAAAATAAATCGTTTAGTTCGTTAATAAACCAGTGCGTGTTTTATTCAAACTGTTGAACCGTAGTTATAAACGTTACATTATTTTAAAACCACTCATGTTATACTAGAGTTGCAGTTTTAGTTTGAAGAGAATTGTTAAAATTTATATGAGTAGGTACTTATGATAAAATACCCAAAACTAATAAACATAAAACATAACTTATAATATTTTTAAATTGCAAATCATCCTGCAAAGACTTATAAAGTCATTTCGAAAATTTATTTTAGGCCATTAAACAAGGCATGTTATAAGCGTCTCATACTGATATAAATTTAATGCGGCCTTTGTTATCCCCATATTAATGTTTTTATAGAAACTCCAAGAAATCGTAAATGAAAAATTAATATTTATGTTCAAAGTAGATATTTACGTCTGTTTGAAGGCGTTTAGCCTGAAATATTGCTTTACTTAACGCATTAGAGGCAATTTTAATAGTCAAATAAAATAGGAAAATAAATTATACAAATAGATATATATTATATATATATTATTATATATTATTTGAATTATAGAAAACAAAAAAGTCCAAAAAAGAATTTGAAATGGTATAAGATGCCGAATATACCTATGCGTTACAATTATCTACTGAATAAAAAAATTATGAAAATTAACCTGATTTTTTGATGGGCAGCCACTGGTTTCGTTGCGTCAGCAACAGCAACAGTCGGCCCGTTAAAAACATCGATATTTCCATTTTGTTAAAGAGGCATTAATCTTATGAAATAATTACATTGAAAATTAGGTGGTCTCTGTGTTAATAAAGGTTAAGGTTAAACATTTTATCAATTACAGCTGTAACCTAGGTTAAAACGAAGTTCTGGCTTATCACCCTTTCAAAATAGATTGTGGTTTCCAACGCCTTCACATTCTGTGAATTTCCTTAAACAAAGCAAATTTGATTATAATTAAAATTAGGTGGTTGTGTAACCCACTTTAAATATATTGCCTTACCTTATAATTTTAGAATAGAACGTTTCATAAAATACAATAATTTTGCAGAGCATTTTAAGTTTAAATAACTACAAATTTACTACTAAGTCAACTTTAAAGTATAAAAGGGTAGAAAAACT